TTTAATTTGATTGGAATTGTCTGGAATAGATATAGAAATTTTGGCAGAATATTCATCTTAATCAGAGCAATCCTGCCCAATAAGGAAAGTTGTAATGTACTCCAGGAATCTAAATCTTTCTTGGATTGTTGGAGAAGTTTGTCATAGTTGTTTTCTTTTAATGATTTGCTTTGTGGAGTAAGCCAAATTCCTAAGTATTTAATTTTTTTTGTCACCTGTATTCCCATTATTGTCTCTAGTTCTTTATTCTGGTCTCCCGTTAAATTTTTAGACATTAATTTCGTTTTACCCCTATTAATTTTAAATCCTGCGACTTCTCCAAATCGTTCTAGTTCTTCTAATAAGTTATGTCCTTTTTCTATAGGCTCCTCCAGAAAAAAAACCAAATCATCAGCGAAGGCTTGTACTTTGTACTCTTCTGATTTAATCCTCAGTCCTCTAATTCTCGAATTTTGCCTAATATACGTCAAAAGAGATTCTAGGGCGAATATGAAAAGCAGAGGAGAGAGAGGGCAACCCTGTCTAACCCCTTTTTCTATTTTTATCGGGTCAGTTTGTTCCCCATTTATTAGAATATTTGCCTGTTGAGTATGGTAAATTGTAGTGACGACGTTTTCGAATCTAGTGCCGAGGTTCATATTGTATATTTTTTGAATTAAAAAATGCCAATTTAAATTGTCGAATGCTTTTTCAGCATCCAAAAACATAAATGCAAATTGTTTTTCCGGATGGGCTTCATAGTATTCTGAAATGTCTATCACTGTTCTTAGATTATTCTTAATTTCTCGAAATGGGAGAAATCCATTTTGATCTTCATGAATATGTGTGTTTAGAACCTGTTTTAGTCTATTAGCTATTATAGAAGAGAATAGTTTGTAATCTGCATTCAGGAGCGAGATTGGTCTATAATTATTAATAAGTCTATGGTCTAGGTCCTCCTTCGGGATCAGCGAAATTAAGGCTCCCCTCCACGAGTCCGGCATCTTGGCTGCTAGGAGTACCTCATTGAATACTTCCAGCATCAGTGGTCCAATTTGTTCTATGATTGTTTTGTAAAGTTCTACAGGTATCCCGTCCGGTCCTGGCACTTTATTATTAGTTTGCTTCTCTATTGCTGACTTCAGTTCGGACCATGTTATATTTTTGTTTAATAATTCTATCTCTTCCTCTCCAATTGCTTTTTCGTTCGCTTCTCGGCCTTTTGGCTAAGATCAAGTGTAGTATCATCTTCAACTTTTAAAGAGGTTGTTGGTTATTTTAACTAATATTGTGTCATATGAATATCCCTGGGCAGAAATATTATATTATTCCTTGAAAATGAAATAATTGATTTCTGATGCGGTTTTCATGCTCCTACAGCAGCAGAAAGAGATACGCACTAACCAATTTTTTTTCCAGATGCAGCCCATTGTGAAAAGTATCCAGATGACCAGTATTCCAATAAGAAGCGGGATCAATGTGTCCCCAAAAGCATAAGCTTCCTATCCTATGAAGAATCATTGGGACTCATCCTGACTTTCTTTGCCATTGCTTTGTCCCTAACCACTGCCTTTATTCTGGGAAGCTTCATTAAACACCAAGAAACTCCCATAGTCAAAGCCAACAACCGTGAACTCACCTACATCCTCCTGGTTTCTCTCCTGTTTTCTTTCTTGACCTCCCTTCTATTCATTGGTCGCCCCATGAAAATGACCTGTCTCCTTCGACAAACCATTTTCAGTATTGTTTTCTCTGTCGCCGTTTCTTCTTTGCTGGCCAAGACTGTAATTGTGGTGGTGGCCTTCCTGGCTACAAAGCCAGGAAGCAGGATGAGGAAATGGCTGGGGAAGGGTCTGGCCCACTCAATTGTTTTATCCTGCTCTGGTATTCAAGTAGGCATCTGTATGACTTGGCTGGGAATCTTTCCCTCATTCCCAGATTCTGACTTTCATTCCCAGCCAGAACACATCCTGCTGCAGTGCAACGAAGGTTCAGTGACCATGTTCTACACTGCCCTTGGCTACATGGGTTTTCTGGCTGCCATCTGTTTCTTGGTG